AATCCTCTCTCGGTACTTGGTTATTATAGAAGGAAACATATTTTAATACCTGGAAAAATTTACCAAGAGCGCGTATAAATATCAATTAATAATAATAATTTCTTTAAAACGAGGAGACAATTATTTTTCCAAAGATATCACATTCTTAAGAAAGAAATCAACCATCCCCAAACTTCATCGATTCAAATAAATCCTAATTACTTCTTTTAACTCGAACGAATCCCAAACCAACCATCCTCAAACACCATCAAACCAAAAACCTGCTCTTCTAATCTCAACAAACATTCTCAAACTTCGTGCAACTTCTTCAAACTCAAATTTCCCTCCAACTAGGAGAAAGAAAAAAAGGTAAAGAAAAGATCCTCGACGATAAAAAGGATCGATAATCACCGGTTAATCATCGATTAAAGGGCGAATATTAATCAAACGCCTTCGAGAATGGCGACGTTCCAAGTCTTGAAAACGGCGAACTGTCGACAGATAGACACGACGATGAACTACTACGAGATCTATTAATTGGCTATCGACGTTCTCTACCCCTCCCCCCTCCCTCTCTTAATTATCGACCCTTCGTCAACGTTCCAATTAGCGTTCGGTTCATTATCGCCCGTGTTAACCTCCCACCACTTCTGCTAAGGGGTAATTCTCAATCGGTGGAACGATTAATATCCGGTGCTAATTTCGCGTTTAGCCACTCTGATTGAGTCTCGCGAACACACATCGCCCGTGGGGCGATTAAACGTGTTTCATTTAATGGATGGTAAATGGATAACAGAGAGTGGATGTCGTTAATTCGAGGGATTTTCTTTTTTTCTTTTTTTGGAACGAGAGAAATTGGAATTCGACGGTGGAAATATTTCAAGAGATGTTACAAGCGTGGTTGGTTTGCCAGTTTATTTAATGGAACTATAATAATAATATCGGAATTTAAAATTACGTGGAAACACGTGGTAAGAGAATTCTTCGTTTCGCAGGAAAATTTTAATACTTAAAGTAAAGATGTTGAAATTGATGAGTATATTATGTATTATAGTGCAAGGCTGGTGTGCAATTTGGAAGAGGTGAAGATTATTTGAAAAGAGAAAAAGAGAATGATGCCATCAAAGGGGAGAAGAAAAATTTACAAGCCACTTCACTTTAACGAATGAACCAACTATTGGTTGAAAAAGAAAAATTGCTCGAAAATTGCAACGAAAAAAATAAGAAAGGAAAGTGTTTCATAAAATCACGGGGGTTAAGGCATGGCCGCCATTATATTGTCAACCGATAAGTGCAGGTTAGAGGCTACCGAGCAAGTTCACGAAACTTGGTTGCGTTGGAGAGGCGGTTATTCCGGCAAAAATAACGACTCTTTGCGATCGTTCCTGCATATCCGTTGTTTCGGTTAATTGCGGGGCAACTCGCGTAATTATTCCTTCTCCCGAAACGGCGATTATAAAGCAATTATCGACAAGGATCGACGCCCGCGTTTCGTACCATACGCTTCCGTGGAAACGAACGATTTTGTCTCTCCCCGTATTCTGTACCCTCCTCCTTGGATTATTGAAATTTTGGGGGAGGGCGATAAATCGTTGCTGTGGAAATATTCGTTTTCTTTTTTAAATTTCTTTCTTTCGAGAAAGATCGACGAGGAAAGATTATCGAAAAAAAAAAAAAACAAACATTTAAAAATTTCCGATCTTCAAACAAAATCCCATATCACATCATTCCATAAACGCAATAAAGGCTGAAAATGGTTGAAAATGAAACGCACACAATTTGTCGTGAAGAGATGATATAATTTATTTTTCGCTATATTTCGTTTTTAGAACACGAACTGCATCATCCGTATTACCGTACAATCCTACGCCTTTTTTTATTTTTTATTTTTATTTTTTTTTTTTTTTTGCACGTCGAGTAAAATCACAATTCTTCTTATGTACAATATTATTTACAAAAACACCGGGACCGGTCGGGCGTGGGGCCCGATCGTTCACCGAGGAATCACACCAGGTCCGTCCAAACGTATATGTATGTGTGTATGTGTATATGTTTTGTGTGTACGTGTGTGTGTGTGCTCCCAATGGCGTCCGATTCGAATCGCCTCTATTCACCCCCGGGCGATCGATCGAACGGACGATCCCGATCAATGCGCTCGATCCCGAGGGGATTAGGGAGTAGTACGAGTACGATTT